AGTCTACATGCCTATTTTGAATTAATTTTCATCCAGGCCCCTTGAATTTGCTCATATCTCTTTCTGAATTCATACAAGTACGTTGACTCTGGGGAAAACCACAGTCTGTTCCTTTCTTCCCAAGAATTCAGAATAGAAGCTGAAATACATGACCCCCCCCAGTGGAGTTTCACCCCCATTGGACCCACTGAGGTTTTCACTACGCCAATTGTTTTTTTTTTTTTTTTAATTTGATTTATATGCCGCCCTTCTCCGGAGACTCAGGGCGGCTTACAATGCGTTAAGCAATAGCCTTCATACTTTTGTATATTTATACAAAGTCAGCTTATTGCCCCCACAAACTGGGTCCTCATTTCACCTACCTTAGAAAGGATGGAAGGCTGAGTCGACCTTGAGCCTGGTGAGAATTGAACTTGCAGTAATTGCAGGCAGCTGGATGTTAAATGCTGCTTTAGGAGGCATTAGCCTCCTACGCCACTCAGGCTCCTTAGATTGTGTATCTCACTATGTGTCTACAGAGATATCAGATTCATGGGCAGGATTCACGTAAGACCCTAAACCTGGATTATCAAACCCGAACACTTGCATTCATGTGGAAACCCCATCATAAATTTATTTCAGGAGTGTCCAACTTTGGCAACTAACTTGTGGACTTCAACTTCCAGAATTCTGGGAGTTGAAGTCCACAAGTCTTCAAGTTACCAAAGTTAAATAACCCTGGTTAAATAACCCCTGGTTACAGGGGATGACCTGGTACACAAAATACTCTGTATCACAAAAATACGCCACCCCACTTCAATGTGGCCTACCTTGTGATGATGCTCAGCCAGATGTGCTCTCTTGGAAGGATGTACAAATGAAAGAAAGAAATCAAAACTCTATTCCTAATTTTATGACCAGGTAGATCAGGTGGAATCCTTCTACCAGCGATTTCCCAGGAATGCTCTTTGCAAGGGATCAAGGATGTTTTAGATTTTTTTCAGCAGTTCCCCCCTCTCCACTCCTTCAGAGAGAGAGAGAGAGACAGAGAGACAGAGAGAGAGGGGGGGGAGAGAGAGAGGGAATAAGGGAGAGGGAAGGATATATGCAGTGGTGGGATTCACTTCGGGAGAACCGGTTGTTAACTTTCTGAGCAGTTTGGTTGTTGGAAGAAATCATTGGTGCAGAGAACCGGTTGTTAAATTACTTGAGTCCCACCACTGGAGATATAGTATGTATGTATGTATGTATGTATGTATGTATGTATGTATGTATGTAGATGGAGAGAGATGGAGAAAGAGAGGAGAGAGAGAAAGAGAGAGAGAGAGATGAAGATGGAGAGAGATGGAGAAAGAGAGAGATGGAGAGAGAGATATGAAGATGGAGAAAGAGGAGAGAGACAGAGAAAATTAGAAAGTTTGTAACACAGATAGATAGGCAGTTCCATGATCCCTTTGACCTTGCATGGATGGGGCACATTTGTGAAACGTGCAAGTTTGTTGACCTAGTTTCAAAAATGAGAGGGGGAAGAGGAAAATAAACCTAAATGGATGACCTCCCCCTCTTCCTGCAAAGATCCAGTTCAGCTGAATTTCCTTGCTATCTTACCTGTGGCAGAAGTGAGAGATTTTGTTCCTTGTTTCTAAACTTTCTCTGCCAGTGAGAGAAAGTTAAATTAAAAGATAATTTCATTCCCCTGCAGAACTAAGATAAATACGTCCTTGGGCTTAGAGAATCCAAAAAGGAAGGGGAATGAGATTAGCTGACTCCCAGGGTGTGTTCACACAGCCTCCTAAATTTCACTACGGCCCCGTATTAAATATGGCATTTCCCCCCCCCCCCAAGAGGCAAGTGGAAATTCTTGGGTTTTATTTGTTTGGGAACGTTTTATCGCTTCTCATCCAAGATGCTTCTACAGTTCCAGTACTACTACTACTTCTACAGTTCTACTTCTTGAATGAGAAGCAAGAAACATTTTCAAACAAACAAAATTAAGAAAGTCTTAACTGGACAAAGCACCTTTGGGACAACTGTGCCCTGGATGATTGAGACTCTTCATAGACATTAAATCTGGCTTATTCAATAAACCAGTAACTGCTTTGAGATTCACGCTTACACTGAGCCACAAAGAAGAAAAGCCATTTAAAGTTAGAGCAGTGTTTCTCAACCTTGGCCGCTGGACGATGGGTGGACTTCAACTCCCAGAATTCCCCAGCCAGCTCTGCTGGTAAGATTTTACTCCTTGTTTACTCCAAGGTGGTAAAAATTAGAAGGCGGTTCATGCTTTTGGTATTTGAGAAAAGCACGATACTCATGATTAAAGATTTAAAAAAGGGAGAAGGGAACGAAAAAGAACGTCTTTTTCGTTTTCCCAGATGGATTGCCCACGTACTTCATAAATGGAATTTTCCAAGGAAAAAGCTCGTCAGAGAAAAAACGAGACATGTTCCTTAATTAGATGTTGTGATTTATGCATTTTAAAAAAACTTCCAGATTATAGCATTTGAAGCAAGTTCGCCTGGAGCTTTGAGCGTAGGAAAAAGCCTAAAGTTTTCCAGTGATAAAGTTTTAAATATTCTTAAACTTATTTTTATTAATTTTTTTTAGGAAGGGATGTGTGTGAAATGATACTTGTGAAATATTCTGAAAGAAACATATAGTGGCAGAAACGTGGAAAGCTGCCTTCATTTAAATTGCTCTTTTCGGGTTTTGAACACAGACTCAATCCATTGGGCTCAAATAATTCCATCTTTATTTTATAAGGGCACCTGTTCAATTAATCCAGTTGTCAAGTACAGATCAGCTAGAACCAAAGTTTCTGCAGACTTTTTGCAGCAACGTTTGATTTAAATCCAGGAGCAATTATTTCATAAGTTGTACCTTTGTGGAAGTAAGAAAATGGCAAGGAAAAAACTGGATTAAAAAAAAAAAAAAACTGGGTACCGACTGAAAGAGAAAATGTCCACGGAAGCATTTGGGAGGGGCAAGGTGGGAAATAAAATCTAATTAAGAGTAAGCGCCTTATTTGCTACGATTACTTGCACCCTCGTGGTCTTTAAACTCCTGAAGTTTTAGGACAATTAAGGACAATCGGGTGGCACTTTCCGCATCCCAGGAACCCAGTTGATTCGGCTAGATTCATCTTCCACCAGGTCGAAAAATTAGATCTTTTGACAGCAAAGTAACCCCCGTGGAAATAAAATTCAGGCAGGCCAGAAATGATTTAAGGCGAAACTTTTGAGCTTTGAAACTTCTTTCTCAAGCTAAAAGGAAAGTGTCACGGGCTACACGTGAATTACTTCTAACCAGAGACCCGCAGTGCGAGTCGTTCAGAAAAAATTATTCATTCCTCTTTTCTTTGCCCGATACGCGCGCGCAGCAATCGCGATCCAGGCCAGAAGCGCCCGATCCAAACCCAATTGCGCGGGATCCGGGAGAGGAGCGCCGATCGAGCAGCTTCCCACCCTCCCCGCAGTCCCTTATTTAAAACCATCCCCGGCTCGATCCCCCTCTTCAGAAAAGCACGTGCCTTTGGGTTTGACCCATAAACCTAGAGTAGATTTACTCATCCTCCCGCCCTCCAAATTCGAGATCCCTCTCTCCCCCCTTCCTAGGAAAGTAAAGCCTGTGCGAATTAAATTTAAAAAGAAAAAAAAAGTGGGGGGGGAGGGAGGAGCCCCTGCCTTTGGAAAAGCGGGGCGCCCCCCTCCCTCCTCTCCCGCGCCTCTGGCTCCTGGCGTCTGAATGAGCCACTAGGGGATGCCAATGGTTCAATGGATAGAACGTTGAGAGTAGTTAAAAGTTCGAACGCGGGGCGAGCCAGCCAATCGGCGAAGACTTTCGGCGAGCGGAGGGCGGTGATTGGCTCCAAAAGTATCCATTCTCACTCTCTCTTTCTCTCTCTCTCTCTCTTCGTGTTTCCCAAAGTCTCCCTTTAAGGGACTTTGAAAAAAAAAACCCGGAGCGCCTTTCTTAACCAGATGAACAGAGTGGGAAGGGACCTTGTTAGGTCATCTAGTCCAACCCCCTCGAACAAGCAGGAGAAACTTCTTCTCCCGCTTGGACGGCGAGGGTATTTACAGGAATAACCAAAGGAAAACGTTGACTCTCGCCCTGGGGCTCCCCGGCCTCCTTAAAAACACGGTCCCCGTGTTTGCACCCACGCGCGACCGGTAAAACATTCAAATGCAAAAGCGAGAACTTGCCCAGACGCCTCACTGCCCCCCCCTCCCACCTCTTTTAAAGGACCAATTGACCCATTGTTTTAAAATTCACCTGCTTACCTAAGATTTTTCTCCCCCCCCCAATCCCCGGGTCTCAATTTGGATGGGTGGGTGGGTGGATTAATTGTGTGTAAGGAAGCCCACTAAGATGTTTCCCCGCGTCTAAACGCCCCGCTTTGTCACGCGCGGGTTTCCCCCTTTTATCCTAACAAAACCACGACATGCCTCGATTTTTATGCCCTGTTTGTACATCTTGAAATGTGTAAAATTTGGGATTGGGGTTGGGGTTGGAGGGGAGCTCCCCAGAGCTGGGAAAAGACTGGAGTGCTCCTTTAAAAGAAAGAATAAAAATAAAAGGAGGAAACGCGGAGGAAATCTTTCTCTCCCCCCCCTCCCTCTCTCCTTCCCCCCCCCTCTTCTCCGCTTAAATTGGGAGATGATTAACTCTTTCTCAAGTTGCCCATCCTGCGCAATCTTTCCGCCCCAGGTAGGAGTGGGAGGAATAGAGACGCTGTTTCGGGAGGGAGGGGAGGGGAGGGGAGGGGAAAGAGGGAAAGGGGACCGGGCCGCCCCTTTGCCTTCCTTTCCCCCTCCCCTTGTTCAAGGACAGGCCCCTCCCCGCCGAGGGTACGGGAACCTCCTTAAGTTGCGTCTCGCCACAGCTGTCTCTTAATGCTGGAGCCTGCTGGCGCCATCCTGATTCTTTCAGAAAGAAAACCTTCCCTTAAAAAAAAAAAAGAGAGAGAGAGGGAGAGAGAGAAGGAAGGAAGGAAGGGGGAGGGAGAGAGAGAGAGAGAGGAGGAGGAGGAGGAGGAGGAGGGAGTTGAAGGAAGCCAATTTTGAGCCGGCTGACTACATCTTCTCCTTCCTTCCTTCCTTCTTTTTTTTGCAAACTTTTTCCCGGCGCCCCGTTTTCTTTCTTTCTTTCTTTCTTTCTTTTTGTTGGTCCTTTCACTTTCTGTCCTTTCACTTTTGTCTCCCTCCCTCCCTCCTTCCCCTCTTCTTTTATTTAATTTTAATTTTATTTTATTTTTGGGGATGGGATTTGCTCCCGTTGCCTTCAAAATGATCCCGGCGAGCGGGGAGCCCACCCCGACCCCAAACTGAGCAAAAACCCGCTCGCTTCTTTCTTTCTTTCTCTCTCTCTCTTTCTGTCTCTTTCTCTTCCGCGCACGCCTTCCTTTTTTTTGCAAGCTCCTCTAGTTTTTCAACGGCCGCCAGAAATGCAGCGTCGCCCGGCAGAGTAGCTGCCGGTCTCTCGGCTCCCCCATCCCACCTCGCCCCGCCACCCCTCCGCCGCGAACCCGTGTCGGGGAAAGAAGCCCCGGGGGGGAAGAAGAAGCGCCCCTTAAATCCCATCGCCCGGCTTGGGCAACGACTCCCCCCCTCCCCTCTTCCCTCTCTCTCTCTCCCCCCTCTCGGCGTTGTCGGAAGCCCGGCGCTTTTGCAGCTCGCATTTGCGCTCCGGTTGACCGATTTTTTCTCCCCGGCACTCCCGATTCCCGCAAACCGAAAGATCGCGCTCCGCTTTCCCTGCAGCAGAGAGGTGAGTCTGGCCGGAGTTTTTTTTTTTTTTTTCCCCCAGCGCCGCACAAGTTTGCAGGTTGCGCGATTTTGTGTGTGTGTGTGTGTGTGTTTGTGCAAAAGAGTCGTTTTGGCGTTTCTAACCTCCTTTTTCGCCTTTCTTTCCTTTTTTTCCCCCTCTCCTCCTCTTCCTCTTCCTCCTTCTCTCCCTCGCTTTTTTTCCCCCTTCCCTCCTTTTCTTTTCCTTTCCCCCCCCCCTTTCTCTTCTCTTTTTTTCTTTCCTTCGCAGGTGATCCCGTGGAAAGGGAAAGCAGAAAAGTGTCGGATCCGGGGCAAGGCGGCCAGTGGAGCCGGCTTGGGGGAGCAATTTTCTGCCGGTGATTTCTTTTTTTCCGGCTTTCTCAAAGCTCGTCGTTTGCCCCCCCAAACTTCGCTCCGGATTGGAGGAAAGGAAAAAAAAAAGGGGGTTTAATTCGAAGCAAACCCCTCCACCCCACTCCCCGCTCCGGCGTGTTTTTTCCTCCCCCCCCTTATTGCAAAACTTTCTTCCCACTTTTGTTTTTTGGATCGCTGCTCTTAAAAGACAAACTTTCAGAAAACTTTTTGTGCAAGTGAAAGTTTTTTTTCCCCCCCCCCCACGGAGTCGGTTGTCTTTATTTTTCCCCCCCTCCTTTTTTTTTTTTTTTTTGCACGGGGGCGACTGCCGTTAAAGAGAAGCCGCCGCCGTTCTCCCCGGTTCATCCCGGTCCCGCGGAGGACAGCATGGAAGTGACTACGGATCAGCCCCGCTGGGTCAGCCATCACCACCCGGCCGTCCTCAACGGGCAGCACCCGGATTCCCACCACCCTGGACTCAGCCACTCCTACATGGACCCCACGCAGTATCCTCTGGCCGAGGAAATGGATGTACTTTTTAACATCGACGGGCAGGGCAACCACGTCCCTTCCTACTACAGCAACTCCGTGCGGGCTACGGTGCAGCGGTACCCCCCGACCCATCACGGTGAGTGCCCTGGCGGGGATGGGGAAGGGGGGGTGTTTGGGGGCGGTGGGGTGGGGAAAGACCAGTGGTGGGGTGGGGGGACGTGCATTGGAGGCTTCCTCCCCTTTTGGATCTCCCCTCCCCATCCTCTCCAAAACTGCTGCTTTTGACAGCCAGCAAAAAAATAATAAAAAAATAATAAAAACCACACACACACAAAATAATCCTCCGGAAACCGAGCGGAGGGTGTGTATGTATGTGTGTGTGTTTGTAAGTGAAAGAGGAGCTGCATTTCCACTTATGCCTTTTGCACGCTTTAGCTTCCCTACTAAAGGCCGCAGTGGTTTAATCCAGTGATCCTAGCCTATTATTATTATTATTATTATTATTATTATTATTATTATTATTATTATTATTATTATTATTAAATCTTTAGTGAGATTCACAGCCTTTGAGGATTATTATTATTATTATTAATTATTATTGGTTAATCTTTAGTGATATTATTATTATTATTATTATTATTATTATTATTATTATTATTATTAAATCTTTAGTGAGATTCACAGCCTTTGAGGATTATTATTATTATTATTAATTATTATTGGTTAATCTTTAGTGAGATTCACAGCCTTTGAGGATTATTATTATTATTAGTAGTAGTAGTAGTTAATCTTTAGTGAGATTCACAGCCTTTGAGGATTATTATTATTATTATTAATTATTATTGGTTAATCTTTAGTGAGATTCACAGCCTTTGAGGATTATTATTATTATTATTAGTAGTAGTAGTTAATCTTTAGTGAGATTCACAGCGTTTGAGGCTTATTATTATTAATTATTATTATTATTGGTTAATCGTTAGTGAGATTCACAGCGTTTGAGGCTTATTATTATTATTATTATTATTGTTATTATCTTTATTCATTAAATATGAAACTCGGTCAACTGAACATTCAGAAATGTTATTACGAATACCATGGTGCTAATGGTTGATATGGGTCTCTGCCAGCGTCCTAGGTATCAACCAAGTACCTTCTTAAGATGTACAAGTAGCACAGTTTTTTGCAGTTCCGCTGGTGTTATTGCAGGAAGCTGCAATTTGCTGATGTATGTTATATAATAATAATAATAATAATAATAATAATTAATAATTAATAATAATGATAATAAAAAATTATTTTTGCTGGGCTATATATATATATCGCACCTCCCCCCCCTCTCTCTCTTCTCCTCCCCTGCCCCATTTTTAGTGAAAAGATCTTGGGTGTCTATTTAACCTCGGCTTAGGGCTGGTTGCGTTCACACGAGTTCTTGACTCCAGAGCTGAATGAACCCCACTGGGTCAATCTTAAAACTGAAGCGAACTGGCTCGGGGTTGCAAGGCGGTGTGAAAAATAAGAATAAGAATAAGAAAAAAAAAAAAGAAACCAACTTTAAACTCCCTAAACTTGGCCTGTTGTAACAGCGGCAGCCGTCCAGTTCCTTGTTTGATGCAGGCTAAAGACAGGTTAGGTGGGTCTCGATCCGATGGAGAAGGAACAAATTCTCCTCCTTTTCCAGACTCGGAGGTAGATATGTAGGCGAAATTGAATGGCGAGTAGCCAGGTCCAGGTTTCACTCCGATTTCACCTGAAGGGTTTCCAGGCAATGGAGACCCACCCCTGTTTCTAGGAACGAAGCACATCTGAATTTGGCCTTATTTGAGACAGAGAGAGAGAGAGAAAAAAAGTGAATAACTTGGGTTTTGTAAAATCCTTCCTAACCAGGTTTAGCGACAGACAAGAATCTGGAAGGGACTTGCCTTCTAAATCTGCATGCATTTTAACTAGGCTAAAATGGAATTGGGTGGGTTTGTAGGCAGACATGGACTTCATAAACCACGAGAACCAATTCCACCAAGCCTTAACCATGGTTGGTTGAGGGCTATATGCTCTGGAGGGGAACGCGGGGATGGCCTAGGATTTTTTAACCCAAAATTAGGAAGAAGGGCCTGTTGAGTAAATTGCACTCAAGAGTCCATAAAGAAACTTTTGGCTTTATTCAGTTGATTTCTCTCTCTCTCTCTCCTTCTTTCTCTCTCCCTCCCTCCCTCCCTCTCTCTCTCTCTCTCTGGTGTCATTTTGTGTCAAAAGAGGGGAAAAAATCCAGAATGTAGCATCTGGACGTCAGTTTTGAAGCCCTGTCATATTGAATTGAGGGAAGGAGGAAAAAAGACACCCTTGTAGGCTGGGCAGTGGAAAAAAAAAATGGAATAAAATATGATGCTTGCAAACCTTTTAAAAGATAAAAAGGAAAAAAGAGAGAGGGAATATTGGATGCATGGAATTAAATGAAACGTCTGCAAGAAAACCAAGCTCAGAGAGCACCAAGGAACTCCCTCATTCCAACCCTGAGCTTACAAATATTCTCTTTTATTGGTATGGAATGAAAGTCATAAAGAGGAGCAAAAATAATTTACCCTCCTGTAGTAGGGTCTGTGTTTCATTAGCTTGTGAGATTTTCCGGCTGCATATTTTTGACTTCCAAAGTTGAGCTTGTCAGGATTTAGCCAAAGTCTCTACCACACTGGGCAGTTTTTGGGGAATCACACAACGCTGCTCCTCCTTGATAGGTGCTTATAAGGGTCGCTCAGGTGTGAACAGGGAGCGTGTAATATGAATTTCAGGAGGGCCTGATCGCCTATGGGCTCTTGAATTCATAAATACTTTTTTTTAATATACTTCCCTTTGCAAAAAAACCCACCTTTGCAAATTTACTCAGAAGCAAATCCAACTTGGCTTTCCTCTCTAACCTGAGTAAAATTCTTAACCCAGGCGGATTCAGCCTAGCAAAGTTCCTTTAAAAACCAGGAGAACCCAAAATTTTGGAGCCAAAGGAGTGGCTTTAAAGTTAGATCCCCCCCCCCATCTAGTCTCCTTTAAGATCTAAAAGTTACTTTCTCCTCCCGGATTTGAAGCTCTTATTTTGCTTTCCGAGCATTTAAAACTAGAAGATAGATAGATAGATAGATAGATAGATAGATAGATAGATAGATAGATAAATAGTCCCTTAAAAAGGGTGGGAATGCAAATACGGTCTACGTTAGAAATGAATCTGCTCCTTCTTCCTCAATTCACTTCTTAAAAATGCCTTTCAACTGTACTTCCAAATTAGACATTTTTTGGGTGTGGGCAGGAGTGGGGAAGAGGTGAGGAAAAATAGACCTGATATTCAGAATATAATGTGCTAAGATAAAGGCAGAGAGAACAGATCCTTCTCTCCCAGACACACACCTACAATCCGGCAATTGAGCAAGCAAAATTAACCTCCCCCTCCCCTGATTAGTAATTGCCCAGGTCATTATTAAACTTTTCACTGTGTCTTAACAAAATGTTATTTAGGCTTCCCGCCCTTTTCCTTTTAACTCGCAAGCCATTGCTTTGATCTGCCATGAGTAGGGGCTGAGGGTTTTTTCCCCCTCCTTTTTTTTTTCTTAGGTGAGGATTAAATTTAGATGGCGTGCCCCAAATGCTGCTCATAAGGGCATTACTAGCTAACATCGTTACAAAAAAAAAAAAAAGATCCTATTTCATTTTATTACTATCGTTTCTTCTTTAAAAAAAAAAAGTTTGTCTTTTAAGCGCCACAAAAGCGGAAAATCAACGCTGAGGCTTTTTCCTTGGTGCCCAACAGAATAACAAGAGTTGGAAGGGATTTGTGGGGTTTTTTTTTAAAAAAAAGTCAAAATGGTGACCCATAAATAAAAGAAAGCGGGGCTTAGAACATAGAATAATAGAGTTGGAAGGGACTTTGGAGGTCTTCTAGTCCAACCTCCTGCTCAGGCAGGAAACCCTATATAGTATTGTATAGGGCCGGTACAATTCCAGACAAATGGTTGTCCAATTTCTTCTTAAAAACTTCCAGTGTTGGAGCATTCACAACTTCTGGAGGCAAGTTGTTCCACTGATGAATTGTTCACACTGTCAGGAAATTTCTCCTTAGTTCTAAGTTGCTTCTCTCCTTGATGAGTTTCCACTCATTGCTTCTTGTCCTGCCTTCAGATACTTTGGAGAATAGCTTGACTCCCTCTTCTTTGGGGCAGCCCCTCAAATATTGGAAGACTTGCTATCATGTCTCCCCTAGTCCTTCTTTTCATTAAACTAAACATACCCAGTTCCTGCAACTGTTCTTCATATGTTTTAGCCTTCAATCCCCTAATCATCATCATCATCATCATCAGTTTGAGTTTGGCCCTGTTTGAAACTGGATTCCCAAAGCAAGAAAAAAATAACAATGCAGGATTGAGACTGCTTTTGACTTTATGTTCGATTTCAGTAGGGTGGAAAATCAAAAGAAATTTGTTTTGGATCGGGAGCCATTTATTGGGGAGCCCCCCAAAAAATAAAAATAAAGATCTAAATGAGGAGCAATCTTTTTTCTCTGTTGCCCTTGAAAAGACGGTTTTCCATCCATCAGAGCAGATAAGAAGGAAAGTAATTCCCCAAATCAATAATCTTAGAAGCCTGGCTTTAAAAAAAAAAAAAAAAAAAAAAGGTTAGCCAAACAATCCAGCCATTAATTAAAAAAAAAATGAGGCTTGTCTTTCTACTCCCTGTAGGCATTTCTTAGAGGAATAAATGAATTCTTATTAATTGCATTGATGCGTCTGTTCGATTCCAGCCTTATTCTGCCAGGGTATTTTTAACTTGCACCAAAAAAAAAAAAAAAAACACAAAAAAAACACCCCACCTCCCTGGAATTTAAATATATTTAAATGGACTGGGAGTGGGGGAAAGAGGCAGTTTGCATACCAGGATTATGTTGTGGGAAGGTGGGGGAGAAGTGATTGAAATGAAGGGGTTTTCCTATCCCAGAGGCTTGGCTGGATGAGGTTGGCTGGGAAAAGAAGGGAGGCCTCTTAAATATTACAGCCAGATCTTGCAGGAATCTTGAAGTATGGGTGGAAAATCCCAAGGGTTTACTCCTGAGTAAATGCATACCTTCAGTCTGGATGGAGCAGGTGGTCTCCTTTTAGGAAA